ATTTTAAATAGGACTAAACAATCCTTGTTAGTTGAGGGGAAAAAAGACCTGGTTCAAGAACTGGAACCAGTGAACAAATAGTCTATTAGAATTTTTGAAAATGTTGGTATGATTATTTTAACAACGTTAAAGCTATAGAGTATAAAAATTGTATCGAGAGGTGCTTTCTAAACTGATTTGAGATATTCGTGTAGTCGACTAATTAAATTAGGTTATAATGATTTTGCACAGTCTATGGATAAAGCAAGTTCTTCAAAAAAATCAACTTTATTGGTTTATTTGTTTTGTATGATTGATTCAACAATGTTGATACTTCATTTAGTCGAAATTTCTATCCCGGATGCTATCATATCAGACCGAACAGAGACAATTTTTGAACTGTCTAGTGCCCTCAAGTTTTGGTGAATCAAATAGTTGAACCAAGTTTTAGAAATATAATATCATCAACTTTTTTTAAAAACTTTGAGCTCTGATTGCTTCCTGTTTAAAACTCAACAATTTAGAAGAAAGACTATAATGTTATACCCAACGCTCTCTGTTTTTTATCAGATGTTTTGACATACGTTTCAATTTATTTTTTCAATTTTAGGGGCACAAAACGATAAATTGTAAATGATATTACCTCATCTGATAAACCTGTCAAAATCTGGACTGTAAGCAAATCCATATACTGCCAGAAAAAAGTTTTTTTTTTTAAATTTTCTGTTTTGAATCCCTTTACTATGTGTCTAAACAACCGTCAAATTTCAGTTTCATTGCGAAACCTCGATCAACATTTTGAACCCTTAAAAATTGTATAACAAAACTTTCGTCGAAAAACACATCGGCTCGCTTGTCCATCAAAAAACTCTTAATCAAGGTTCTTTTCTCTAACAACCTCGGTATATGCTCCAAAAATTTCATTAAGGTTCTCGATCAAGGTTCGCTTGTCTGAAGCCCTCAGTGTACATCCTGATGCGCATTTTTGCCAGCTTACCAGTAATAAAGAGCGCACTAGTCGAGCGATCATTTCCATTCCATGACAGAGTTTCTCAAACGTATATGAGATCGGTCATGCAGGAAAATCTACTGTTGTTACTGCTTTTTTTTGTTCCGACTTTTCAAGAAAACGACGAATTATTTGTGCTCGGGTAGTTTTTTCTGCAGACAATTTTCGACTTTTTAACTAGCTACTTTAGACGGAATTTTTAGATCATTTGAAAGCTACCCGTACAGAAATAAAATAAAAATACAGATATGCCCAGGGTTAATCCATTTGTTGTGAGATTGCATATCTGTCCTGAACAGAAGGTCAAAAGTATCATAGTAAACCGAGGTTACAGTCATGAGTCCCTTCATCATGTATTCCAGTCAAAATCTTTGGAATTTTCTAGATATGGAAGTGATAATGATAAAAGAAGATGTCAAGTGTATAAGTCCTTTTCAATTAAAATCGATACGGGTTACGTTTCTTCAATAAGAACACGCAACTCGACACGAGATAATATAATATACAAGTGTTACAAGTAAAAAATTTCGTCGAAAGTTATTTTGTCATTTATTGTTCCGAGTACGCAAGCGGCGTTCGCAATCTGTATTGCCAGGGAGATTCTCTGTTTTAAAAAGCTGCCTGCTCTGGGTTCCTCAGTGCATATGCTTAGGTTCCTACAAAGCTTG